CTATTATAAAAGATTCTAATCAAATCATTAAGTCAATTAATTTCATTTCAAGCATTAAAAAGCCTACATAACTAGCTGTAGATCCTATTTCCCTCACTTTGCCATGTCGTCTCTATCTCCCTTTGCATATACCTTTTCAAACCTCCATTAAATTTAAAATGCCCATCTGACATTCAATCTTGGCATGCAAACCTTAATATTAACTGAGGTCTCATCAGAAATGGAATATTTGTACATTAAAAATGTTGTCTTATATGCGTACCCTTCCTATTATTTTTCCACGATATTGTTCATGATTGTATATTGGTATTCTTAGTCACTGATTAAAAATCACGTCCAGTCACATAAATTTGGATAAAGTATTTCTATTTTTAATTCAATGCCTGTTATAATAATATAAGATGAAGAATAGTGAATTTGATGCTCATTTATTGAATATATTCATCTAAGTTTTACGTTCATAAATATTCTAGTTTCAATACGTCGTTCTTGATATAAAGTAAAATAAAAATTAAATGGAAATTGATGAAACTTTGTTGAGGTCCCCAAAAAGTGAAAACTAAAATAGCAAATGAGGTTTCAATTCATTCATAATCATGACATACTCATCAAGGGATGCAAGGCCAGTCACTCATTCTATGTCGGTTTGCTTTATATTCGAGTGCACGTGTATCACTCTAAACATTTCATTATCCCACTCTGGGTTTCAACCTTACAAGCCCATGTTGCTTTTTCAGCTTGTAAAATTCTCAACTCCCAGCTCAAACCATACCAAATGAGAACCAGCAGGCTGCAGCTACAGAATTTTAGAAGCTGGGAAATTTCTGGGTAGTATGCTTTCAAGTCCCCCATATAAATTGGCAAATTTTAATTGTTGCTTTTTAGCCCTATCATCATCCCCCTGGTGGCTGACTTGTCCTCCATCGTAGGCATGTGCCAATGTCTCCCAGAAACATAATTCCCATGACATGGCGTGGCATTTTGGGCTCACCGTTTTTTCTGTCTGCCCTCAACCAATTCTCTGTAACCCACCAACAACCGCAGCAACCACCTTATCCGCTGTTTGAAAATGCCAGTTTTCTGCATACGTTCTAGCCACAGAAGCCTATGCCTGTGCGTGTGAACCTTTTATACGTAGAACTTTTAAGAATCCCATGACTGACAGCACTGTGGGGACTGGGGAGAGGGCCATCATCCATTAAAACTGCGGTCTAACTGATGTGATCAGTGGATTACCAGATGCATCTAATTGCTTCTAAATCAAAACAGATCGATCAACACCTGTGAAACTATTAATAATACCATCACTTTTCCAAAAAAAAAAAATCTGTGGATTAGATTCGGTATCATGCCATCAAATCCAAGCTCCTACTGATAATCCTTAATTGTTTTGTCGGATGACCGTTTCCTCTTTTTTCTATACGATCCAAAAAGCTTTGCAGCGTTGTACATTTGTACCAGTGTTGTGTCGGAACCTTTTCCTGAACACAGGGGCAACTCCAATGTTTTTCCTTCGCCAAAGTTCTTTTATTTTTTTTATCAAAAAACCTATCCAGTTTTTATATTTTTTAATTTATTTAATTTAATTTTTATATTTAAAATTTAAATAATTTAATTTTTTAATTTTAAAAATTATATCAATTTAATCTCCCTTCCAAAAGATATCTAATGTTACTGTTAAAGGTTGACACCATCAGTGAAGCGTCATATTTTAATAATGTGACATTTGAGATAATGACATGACATATTGCATGGCATAGAAAGATGACGTGATAATGTCACGTGACACTATATGATGATATAAAAATATTGATGCGACATGATATGTTGATAATGTAAATATCAAGTGACAAATCAAAAAAAAAAATTTAAATTTTTTATCACATTATAGGGATCAAATTGAATAAAAATATATAATATATGAATTAAATTGAATAAAATTAAAATACTAAGAAACTAAATTTAAAAAATATTTAAAAAATATAAATATTTAAGTATATTATTGATATGCTTATTAATAGTTAAATATTTAAGTGTAAAAGATTTATGGTATTAAAATATATATAAATATTTTCTTACTTGATTATTTGATTCTATAATATGTAAATCAATTTATCTTTTTTAAAAAATTAATTTGAATTTTTTCCTATAATAAAATACTTTTAAAAAATTTTATACGCTGAAGTCAAATTTAGATGAATAACTTGTATTACGTTAAAATAAAATAATATAAAGTAATCAAATAAACTCTCTTTTTTTCTATTTATAATTATATAAAATTTTTATATTAATTTAACTTAGTTTTTAATTTGAGCTAAAGTCGAATTAGCAAAATATATTGATTTAATTTTTTCTTTTAAAAAAATAAAAAAAGAGTTAGCGATGATTATAAAAATAATTTATCGTTCTAACTTGCTTAATTTGGACATGACGAACATCTTATTAAAACTATAGAATCTAAACTCCACATTTTGAATTATTTATTTATTTTTTATGTTTTTATTTTATTGAATATTTTAAGTTGAAATTTTTAACATTAAAAATTACATTTATAGTTAATAAAGTTAAATATAACTGTAAATATTTACACCGTTTTATTTTATTAATAAATTTTTATAGATCTAAATTAATAATTTAAATTTAAATTTAGTAGAATTTGATTGTGGTATTTGAATTTAAATAAAATTATTTTATAAGAAATTTTGAGTAAATTTAAATAAAAAGTAAATTGGGTAAGAGTTGAATAATTTCAAAAGAATATATATTTGTAAATTGTGAAAGTTGTAACTAATTCAACATATTTAGTTAGTTTATATTATTTTATTTTAATATAATGTAATTTATTCATCTAAATTTGATTTTAAGTATGAAAATTTTTCAAAATTTTTTTATAGAAGGGGAATTCAAACTTAACTTTTATAAAAAAGATAAATTAATTTACATATTCTAAAATCAAATATTTAAGTAAAAATATATATATATATATTTTTTAACACTATAAATCTTTTACAATTAAATATTTAACTTATTAATAAGTATATCAATAATCTACTTAAAGATTTATATTTTTTAAATATTTTTTTTAATTAGTTCCTAAATATCTTAATTTTGTTCAATTTAGTCATGTATTATAATTTTTATTTAATTTAATTCTTATAATGTGATAGAATTTTTTATACGTGTATTGATATAATGTCAACATATCAATGCCAATCAACATGTTATGTTATCGTATAATATCAAGTGGCATGCCACCTATCATTTCAAATACCACATCATCAAATGTGAACGTCAGTAATGATGTCATCATGATATTATTTTTAATGAAAAAATTAAATATGTTAGGAAAAAAAATTAAATTGATTCAATTTTTAAAATTAAAAAATTAAATTATTTTGATTTTAAATATAAAAATTAAATTAATTAAAATTAAAAAATAACATAAATTAGATTGATCTTTTGACATTTTTCATTTTACTGCCTCACATTTTCTGATTAACTTCTGTTTGAAACCTTGTCCATACTTAACTCTGGTTGTACACATATAATTCGGGGATGGAAGATTCAAAGCGAAAACCATTTTTTTTTTGTCTTTGTATCGAAGTAATTGCTGATTGGACTATATGTGTCTGCCACGTATGTTTTTATTTGGCGTCCTCTTATTGGTCCATGATCTCGTGCAACTGGTATATAATATTTAGGCTCCTATATAAAGCAGTACAAAGTCTAAGTTGGGGGAAACGGGCCACGGAGACATGCATGGCCAGAGATTAAGATAGAGACCATCATAGGCCAGCTATAATATTCCATTCCATTAGCAGTAGTGAAACTTTTCATTTAAGAAAAAGCTAAAGATTGCTGTTTAATCCCTGAAGAACATCCAATTCCTGACAAAGGTCAGGAAAAGATTTGATCGCTTAAAGATTCTGTGTTAATTGCTTTTCTTTTCTGTACTTTGTGCCCACGGGAGAATTGACCTTCTCTCTCTCTTGTAATTCCGTCGGAGAGAACATCATAATTCGTAACAACTTGCGTAATAGACAAACTAAGAATTATGGATACCTTTCCACTTGACGTCCGTTTCCATTCTTATCCATTTCCGCTGGTTACCGATTTGCAGCTCGTAGCTCTTTTTCCTTAACCATAAATAAAGAAACAGAGAAAATAAAAAATTACTGATTTCATGGTAGCTAATTAGCTAGAATATATAATTAAGCCACTTTATCACCTACTTTTATTATATATTTTTTTGTATATATAATTTTGAATTGCATAAAGAAGGGTGATCATCTTTCATTTTAAAATTTTCGCTCAAATTATCAACTACTGAAATATCCCTTTTAGGGACTCTAAGTAGCAGCTACCATGCATAAACTAAATAGTGTTTCCTTAAGCTGGTATCTATCTGGAATGTCTAAGGTAGCAAAAGAAGCACCATATGGGGAGACTCAAGTAGGACCATGCAGGCTTCTTTTGTTGAAAGCCAATTAATTTAGGTTCACGATGGATATGGTTACATCCAACAATTCATATATACAATTACAGCTACCAAATCGTCATGCGATTGTCAGCTAGTGGCAAATTCAACGTCACATAGAAAATTCTTGCACGTTTTATTTTTTAAATTGTAAAAGCATCAAGGGTTGGGAGTATTTTTCTTGCAAAAGTGATGAGTCTAGAGAAGTCCTATATACGTACAGAATGTACCCCCCACCCCCCTACCAAATGTAATTTCACAATTTAGTTTGAGAAATGGATATCAATCTTAGCACTGCTACCTTGTCACGATTCAAGAAAATAGACCTTTAAACTAACACTAAAAATGTTCTCTACCACGAATCATGCAATTATCCAAAATGAGGCTTCCCTCCCTATAAATATTGAAACCCATCCTCCTTGAAGTCACAACAATCATAAGGTTATTAATTGGTTAAATTTCTTTTAGCTAAATCTTTTTGGCGTAGTTGCTCAAAAAAAATAAAATTTTGCCATAGCTTTTTATGTTTAATTTCTCAAACATGAGAATGCTTGAGTTGACTATGTTTTGGTTAATAGGTTGTGCCCTAGTGGTCACCCCAGTGTCTTGGGCCGCCAAGGATAGTTACCAAAAGCATGTTCATGAACAATGTAGCTTTACTAGATACCCTGGCCTTTGTGTCGATGCAGTGGCAAGGTTGGGATCAGGAAACCAACATGTTGACATTATGTCTGCTCTCATAAACAAAACTATCTTAGAGACCAATCTGCCAACTTCTTTTTATTCCAAATTCAGCTCCAACCTTGAAATCGAAGAAGCTCAACACGTCAATTCCATCACAGGTTTGCCTGAAACTTTTGGTTGGTTCCATATGTTGTTTTTACTCGTACAAAATAATCAGCAATCCAGAAATTACTGTTAACGGCAACAATTCGACTCTTTTATTATATTAGTAGTATTCTTTTGGGGTACCTTTTCGCTTGTCATTTTTTTTTTTTGAGCTTAGGCAAAGCACAACGTTTCCCCTCCATGCAGGATATTGTCAAGAGCTTTTGAGCATGTCTCTCAAGCGGCTAGACCAGTCGCTATTAGCTCTCCAGAATTCTCAAAACACAAACAAGCAGGACGTCCAGACATGGATCAGTGCCGCCTTGACCTACCAACAAGCTTGTAAAGACTCTGCCGACGGTCACAGTTTCTCCAATAGTGACCTCATGGGCCAGATATCCAGAAAAATGGATTATCTGTCTCAATTGGTCAGTAACTCTTTAGCCCTTGTCAACAGGATGACTGGAAAGTTAACGGACAGCACAACTCGCCAGCTCTCTGAGGACCATGTTTTCCCCAGCTGGGTATCGGCAAAAGATCGGAAACTACTTCAGGCCGCAACGATAAAAGCCAACGCTGTCGTGGCCAAAGATGGATCAGGGAACTATAAAACAATTTCCGAAGCTATCAATGCAGCTTCCGGTGGTCGGTTTGTGATCCATGTGAAGGCAGGAGTTTATAACGAAAAAATTCGAACTAACAAAGATGGTATTACATTGATAGGTGATGGAAAATACAGCACTATCATCGTCGGCGACGATAGTGTAAATGGGGGCTCTTCCATGCCCGGCTCTGCAACATTCAGTCAGTATTCTGTCTCTTCCTCACCTTCGTTAGCTCCTGTATTATTTTGGCTTTTGAGTTTGATTGGGCCCTCCTATACTTTTACCTAGTAACTACCAATCGACTAGCTAGCGCCCCCCATTTGCATGAAAAAAATAGTATGAAAACCAACTTTAATAAAGAGCAAGGTTCAAGTCATATGGGTAGTTCCTCCACATTGTGGACTTGTTTGACAATCCCTAGACGCCTAGGTATTTAACTTGAGAGAAATTCGAACACCAAGAATTGTATTGAAGCAAAACGGGTTTCTTATTTGGCCCGCAAAAACAAAAAGGTCAATAAGGTTTATAAAGAGTAGCAATCATCCGTATTTGTTTTGGGACATTTACTTGCAACTACAAGTCCTTTTCCACGTACTTGAAGAGACAAGTCCACTCTGCCTCCTATCCTTTTCTACAGTTTTATCACTATTTGCCAACTGCAAAGCGAGCTTGCATTTTAATGACCACCACAAATAGGTCTGTGATATTAGTATATAGGCAATAAAATGTAAATATACATTAACTTTAACACCAAAACAAGAACATCTTAAAAAATAAATATACTATTGAGATACATTCGAATATTTAATTTATTAATTAATATATAATTTATTTTTTATTTAAAAAATAATATTTTGATCTCTATTTTTAATTTTTTTAAAAAAAATTACTGATGTGAATCCCAATTTAAAAATATATATATATGCTACTGAGGCCAATAATTCCCTTTAATTTTTACTGGATTTTTCAGCTGTCACTGGCGATGGATTTATTGCTCGGGATATCGGGTTTCAAAATACAGCAGGTCCTCAAGGAGAACAGGCCTTGGCTCTTTACGTTGCCTCTGATCATTCAGTTTTCTATAGGTGCAGCATGGCAGGCTACCAGGACACTTTATACGCACTTGCCCTGCGTCAATTCTATAGGGAATGTGACATTTATGGCACAATTGACTTCATATTTGGAAATGCTGCTGCAGTTTTTCAAAGCTGCTCATTAACACTTCGCCGTCCTCATGGAGCCTACAATGTGATCCTGGCAAACGGGAGGTCTGATCCAGGACAAAACACTGGCTTCTCTATTCAAAATTGTAGGATTGAACCAAGCTCGGATTTTTCTCCTGTCAAGCACAGCTTTAACTCATACCTAGGGAGGCCCTGGAAACGGTATTCAAGAGCAGTTGTGATGGAATCAACAATAGATGATGCCGTAGCTTCAAGAGGTTGGATTGAGTGGCCTGGAGCTGGGGCTTACTCGAAATCACTATATTTTGCAGAGTATGCAAATGCGGGACCTGGAGCTGGAACTTCCCGGAGGGTAACCTGGCCTGGGTTCCATGTTATTGGACGAGATGAGGCTGTCAAATTCACAGTTGATAAGTTCATTGCTGGAACGTCATGGCTGCCTTCAACAGGAGTAACTTTCGTCTCTGGCCTTCAGTGATTGGACTAGAAGCATAAGTGTAATGTGCTAGAGTTACTTAGACTAGAAAGATAAAAAGCAAAGCAAATGGGACCTAAAAGCGAAGACCCTCCTGCTGCTCAGGCATGGGTTGATTAATGTACAGTATTAAAACTACGTAATTGTATAAGAAAGAAAAAATATGTGCTGATGTAGGATAAAGGATTCAGATGATTTTTACCTTATATTTTACTCCCTGTATTTAATGCACGAGGTTTGGTTTGATCTCATGTTCATGAATATAATGAATTGTTCAAATGCGTAAAAGGAAAAGGTGTACGCTAATTCGATTAATGTGCCTCTCACTAGATAATTTCCTGTATAGTTCAAAAGATTGGAAAGACACTCTAACCTTTAATAAGTGTTCTGGCTTATCGCAGATCAGGAAATAATGCATCTCAAGATCAATTTTTCAAAACCGGCCCTCTAGGCCTTTAGCTTTGGTGCTGGTCCTAAGTCCAAATTAAAGAGATAGATAACAGCAACAAACTCTAGTTCCAAGCTGGAAGAAAGTCTGCTGTCGACGTATTAATATACGGTGCTTAAACTTCCTAGTCCTCTTATTAATGCGTAAGAATTCCATCTCGGCGGGCATATTCCTATGTGACTAAACTAACTGGATGACTTTTCCTAACAAGCTTGCGCTTTTTGCTTTTCCGCACTAATTTTTCTCATCGCGGGTCATGCTCTTATTCCAGCCTCTTATTTTCATGTGTCAACCCCAGTTGACTTGGCTTTCGATATCACCCTTCTTTTCTAAAAACGGAATTGGTTGGTCGGGGAGAAAAGAGTACTTCGACGGCGTACGATGGGGCCTTAGTAGTCCCTGGCATTGTCTGCAGCCGACAAAGCCTGGAAACTGGAAACCAGAATATATAACTCCTTTGCATCTGTTTCACATGGATAGCAAGTTTTAAAACATTACTCATCGTCCTGGGAATTACCTAATTTTCAAGTTTACAAATCATTCATTCCTGAATTGGCACTTTAACTAGAAAGCATAATGTTTTATTCTGCTAAAGCTAGGGGTGAGCAAAACTAATTTAGATCAATTATTCATTAAAACCAAATATGATTTAAGTAAAACAGTACGATTTAATTGATTTATTGGATCAAGTGACTTAAAATATTCAATTCAATTG